AGGGAGGGGCCGCTACGGACCAAACGAGGGGGCGGGGAGGGGTGGGAGGGCTGACAGGTGGGGCACCCGCCACCTCCCGGCCACCCTCTCCCCGCACGGGGCCCTCCACGGTGAAATCCACGTGCTGTCTGTCGCCTTCAGCACAGGCACCTCACCTTTAAGGCCAGAGAACAAAATCTGGAAACACTTGGCCCCCAGATCAAACGTCCTGCCCGCGTCAGCGGTGTTTTTAGAAGTCGCTGCGGACAAGTGAGGGGGCTCCAAATGTGACGAGCCACCCCGCTGGCGTAGGATCACAAATTATGGTGATCGGTTCTTTCACACATTAAGATTCGGCAAGTGTTGGAAGTAGGCCCTTGTCAGTGTTATGCAGGGTACTGCCCTTGGCTTAATGAGCAAATGACAGGAATTTGGCATCCCCTGGGTCTCAGATTGATGAGTTCAGGTGAACAGTGTTTTCACCTCAATGCCCGAACAAGATTCTGAAATAGTAAATATTTTTTGCGAATGAAAAAGGAAGAGATTTGGTATAAATGGTGGAAGGGTGTTATTTTGGAGGGTGCTTTATATGGTGTGGCCTACTTAAAATTAGCACCATTTGATGCAGTATGACAATTAATGGAAGGTTTTAAGTGAGCCACCTTTGTATATGCTGTCATTAGACCATTTGGAAATGGATGATTATTTGATCTGCAGCTCTTTCTCTAGTCAATGTGCAGTAGAATGTGGAAGGAATACTGTGTTCTAGCATTGAGTATAAAACACGAAAGGACCAAAATTGTTCCGATTTAGTTTCTTTCCTCCTTTAGTAACCACTAAACAGAACTGATTAATCTTGTATATTGAAGAATGCCAATTATTTCCTCCTTTGACCGCCTTGTGTCATAGCTCTTTACTCTAATTAGGGAAGCTAGAATGCCCTTCAACCCCCTTCTCTCAAATAGGCTTACTTCTTTAAAACCCTCCCCTACCCCCCACACCCAAAGGTAAGTTCAAAAACAAAAACAAAAAAAACAAGAATAGGCAAAGTTCATGGTTTTTCATTTTTATTCCATTTTACTTTCAAAGAAAGTCTTGAAAAGAATCATGATGAAAATACTGGAAGAAGTAGAGAAACCAAAGGAAGAAGAAAAAAAAACTTTAAAATGAAAATAGACTTGAAAAAAAAAAAGGAAAACGGACTATTGGTAAAAAGAGGGGAAATGTATTATGTATACAAGAACTTTTCCCATAGATGTTAATTGCTTCAAGTCCCAAAGAAACAACGAGCAAACAGAATTAACACTTGGAGGAAAAACCCTTCTAGTTATCAAGTTGGGTAAATGTTTAGTCTTTTTTAAGTGTTAGTAAGAGATTAAGGAAAAGGTGGTGGTTGGCTGCGTGCCAACAATAATACATGCAACAATGATATATATATTTATATATTATAATGATAATGGGACATATATGTATCATAAAAACAAATGAGCCTGTGTTCCTACTTCTGCCAATAATTTTCACAGTTTACTGTAAGAGCAGTGAAGTTTTCATTTGGACTTTGAAGAGAAAAAGCCATGTGATTCATGAAGCTAGGCCGTGGATATACTAAATTCTTATACATACTGAATTTCTGAGTTTGTAATAATTACTCAAAATCTGTTTCTCATGTTGATAATCTGTAAAATAATGCTTTTATTAACTTTTAGAGTTGTGTTAACTGAATTTCTGAACTTGGTACGATTAAGAATTTGTATATAAAAATACAGAAAAAAGTTCATTCTCAAAATTTTTCTTTTTCTTTTTTTTTTAATTTTTTGTTTATTGCAGTAACATTGGTTTATAACTTTGTAAAAATTTCAGGTGTACATCATTGTACTTCTATTTCTGCATGGACTACATCAAAATTTTTCTTTTTTGTCATAGCTTGGGAATTATTTTAGAAAGTCAATGACCCTTCTCATTCATTGATATGCAAATTAAAACAGTGGCTTTTTACACTTAAAGAGAACCAGTGGCACATTTTCTTTACCAGAGCATCTTTTATCATGGTTAAATTCTGTAAGTTGCTTTATGTATTCCATTTGCTTTTGCCAAAAGACAAGAAATACACAGTCTTAGTATAACAAAAAGTACTAATGTATAAAAGAGAAATGCCATTATATAAAATAGAAATCAATAAGAATCCAATATGCTTAAAAGTTGTTTCGTTTCAGAGGAATCACCATTATGCAGCAGTTTTATTACTATCCATCAAAATTATTTCCAAGGAGTAGGACAAGGAACTAATTGAGATATAGAACAAGCAGTTTCAAAGACAAGAGACCACCACTGCAAAAAACAAATCAACAAACAACTCATCTCATTACAGCTGTCAAAACAAAATTAGACTGGTGTGGTAAGAAAGCTTATTATTTCAGTGACACCTAATTCTATTACAACCAACAGAATTTCAGTAATAACATATACCTCTATTATTTCTCTAACCTTTAATCTCTTTTTTCAAGTATATATATTGGCTGGACATTTTGAGAAAATTTGTTCATTATGTTTGCAATGTTCTGATTTAAAATATAGGCAAAATAGCATACCCAAAATTCACTTTGAGGGGAACGATGCATAGCGGGACCTTGAAGAGAGAGACATTCTCCAGAAAACTGACACCAAGTTACATGGAGAGCCTGCCATGATTCCCAATCAAGAGAGACATGCCACAGATATTAAGATACCAAGAGCAAAGATAATCACCAGTGCATTCAAATATGAGCACCAACTTTCAAAAGGCATAAGGCCTTAATTTACCATCAAGCTGTTTCTCAAAAGGGCAGCTCTGTGCAGGATATGGATCAGCAGCAATGTATTTACTTAATGATTAATGTTTCCCTGGAACAACTATTGGGGAGACCAGCTACTGCATAAATAAATGTTTGCGTGAACTAGTAGTTTTCAATATTAGCTTTAAAGACAATTTCAGTAATGCCTCATTTATCTGACAGGATAAGGAAAGGGGGCAGTGAGAGGTTGAACAAATTAGATATTCTAGATAAGTGAGGTTTTCACCTTCAAGCACTAGAAACAGTTTAATTTAAACCACTTGTACTGATTTTTTTCCCAAAATATCACCAGTTTCTCTGCCTTAAATTAATAAAATACAGTATAGCTTAACCTATTCCTAATGACCCAGAAGTATCTTAAAAACAAAAACTATAATACCAAGATGTCCCCAGGAGCTTAGAAATACTTAGTACTCTTCACCCTACAAAGATAACCATGTCCTACTATGTTCCTGCATTGCTTTGAGTCTAACTGATCTGGAAGGTACTCATTATTGATCTTCCTGCTGTCCCTGCTTGTGGCTGCACCTCTGTTACAACACTGCCTGCATGCACATACACACACACACACGCCTCGCTTTGACTTGTCTTATCATGTTAGCCTGGGAAACCACATAACCAATATTTTAAAATATATGTATAAAATAAAAGTAAAGGACCTCAAAAGAAAATGCTAAAACAAGTCTAATATTTTGGGGCATTTTCTTAGTATAAAGGGCATTTGCCTACTTTGATATTTTCCTCTATATTTTGGATAATTGAGTTTACCAGATGAGTGAATTATTATTCCATTCCACTTCCTTTATAAAAATTGTAGGCATTGCTCTTCATACTTACTGGAGGGTAAGGATCTTTGTCAATAACGTTCATCGCAGAGGTTTCCTTATATATCCTGCATTCAAAATAAGGTTAGATTAAAAAAACCCACGAATTCCGTACCGGTAATAAATAGATAAAACAAGTGAAGAAGGGCGTACTGTTGCTTACAGTAGAGTGTTGAATGCCAACAGGTAAATGTGGAGGGAGTGCTGGAGTTGGACAAGCATCATTTTGCAATTATTGTAGCAAAGATTGGTAAGACAAGAACCATCAATGGATGCTAAATGTAGAGAGAAATTTTGATGAGGAACAGGATATTCGCATCATCTTAGAGTTCTTCCCATAGACTTCCTATTAGTTGCAAGGAAGGAACTAATTCCTATTGCAAGGAAGGAACTGTATTCTTCAAATATGTCAATGCCATTAAAGACAAAGGCTGTGAAAATATTCCAGCTAAAGAGCCATGACAACTAAATGCAATATGAGATACTAGACTGGATTCTTTACTGGAGGGGAAAAAAATTCTATAAAGCACATTGTTGGGTTAACTGGAAAACAGATGGTAGATTGATTAGATAAAAGTATCAATGTTAAAATTACTGAAATTGGTAACTGTGGTTACACCCCTAAATAGTGCAGCATTTAGGAATAAAGGACTAGAATGTATGTATGATTGAGGGAAAAAAAAAGAGTGAGAGATGGGCCAGCCTCAGTGGCCTAGTGGTTAAGTTCAGCACGCTTTGCTTCGGCAGCCCAGATTAAGTTCCTAGGCCTGGATCTACACCACTTGTCATCAATGGCCATGCTGTGGCAGTGACCCACATACAAAAAGAGGAAGATTGGCAACAGATATCAACTCAGGGGGAATGTTCCTCAGCAAAAAAAACAAAAAAAAAGAGAAGAGAAAACAAAAGTAATAAAACAAATAGGTAAAATGTTAGCAAATAGGTGACTGGGTAAAGGGTGTTTGGGTGTTCCTTGTAACTTTTCTATAAATTTGAAATTATTTCCAAATAAAAAACTTTTTTCTTAATGTTAGTACCAAAAAAGTAGCAGCAGCAGAAGTAAGCAATCCATAGACTATATAACATCATAATTATTTTAAATGACCACCTTACTGCCAAATCCCACATGCTTTCTAAAATTATTGACTACTCCCACGATATTGTCTCATCTCTTGGGTTAAAATCATAGAAACAATGAATTTTATAGTTGAAGAGTCATCTTATCCAACTTTTCATTTTATAAATGAGGAAACTGAGGCTCAGAGATTCAAGATGTACCCAAAATCCCTCAAGCAGTTAGCATGACAGAGCACCGTCTTGATTCTACTTCTATCTCTACAACTGCTAAGCTGCTGCTGCTCAGTTTCTATCACTTTCTCTTTTCTCCTTCCTGACTCTGAGTTTCCTGAGGGGGTTGTATCCTCTTCTTTTGATGATTATATGGGGAACTTATATGGCCTTACTGTTTGAACTGTCACTTCTCCACTAGTAATTCTCACTCAGACTTCTGTACCACATGTCCAATTGCCTCCATGACGTCTATATGAGGACATTCCATCATCAGTTCAACCTCTCCAAGTTCAAAACTGAAATAACCACAGAAGAAAAAATTAAAATGGCTAATGAAACCTATGAAAATATGTCCATCCATACTGATAATCAAAGAAAGACACATTAACAGAAGATATGTTTCGCCTAATAGATTGCCCAATTAATAAGATTTATAATATTCAGGTTTAGCCAGGATGTGGGCAACATACTCTCTCATACACTGATGGTGGAAGTGTTTGAGCATATCTCTTTGGTAGACAATTTGCCAAAAGCAAGGAAAAAATTTAAATGTATATACCCTTTGACCCAGCAATTTCACACATAGATACTTGTCCTGCAGAAATACTGTGACAACGTTGAAAGAGATATACGTGACTGTTCATTAAGTATTGTTTGTAATAGCAAAAATTGGACTTCTAAATGTCCACTAATATGGGAGTAGGTAAATACAATTATGTTTCCTTACATTGAAAAGATAGCTCTATATGAACCAATATGGAAAGAAAAACAAACAAGTTGAAGAGAACTATGTATACTGGTGTTCCATTTCCTCTTCTTTTAAGTTGATACATACATAGAAATCAGTCTGGAAAGCTATGTAAACAAACTTTTGCAGTGGTTACCCCAAGAGAATGGAATTGCGAGTGGAGAAGGGGACCTTCATTTTTCTATTTTATATATTTCCATTGTTTGCTATTGTTGTTGTTTTTTACTAGAAGCATGTATATCTTTTTTTGTTGTTGTTGAGGAAGATTGGCCTTGAGCTAACAACTGTTGCCAATCTTCCTCTTTTTGCTGGGAAGATTGGCTCTGAGCTAACATCTGTGTCCATCTTCCTCTATTTTGTATATGGGATGCCGCCACAGCATGGCTTGATGAGCAGTGTGTCGGTCCACACCCAGGATTCAAACTTGCAAACCCCGGGCCGCCGAAAAGGAATGCGCGAACTTAACCACCACACCACTGGGCCAGCCCCCCGGCATGTATATCTTTTATAAAAGCAACGACAACCTTTTCATTCCTTAATCATCATCCCCTCCAATATTGCTGTTCCCATCATTTCTTCTCTCTGCCACACTTCAGAATCACTGTTAACTCTTTATTTTTCTCTCCTTTATCATTTATCCATTTAGTCCAGATACTTATAAATTTTTTGCAGCTTTTTTTTTTTGCATTTATTAGCCCAAACTATATATGCAGAAAGGTACTCCTAACTGATCTCTTAGATTTAGCTATCCTCCACACCTTTTTTTGTGTGTGTGTGAGGAGATCAGCCCTGTGCTAACATCTGCCAATCCTCCTCTTTTCTTGCTGAGGAAGACTGGCCCTGGGCTAACATCCGTGCCCATCTTCCTCCACCACAGCATGGCTTGCCAAACAGTGCGTGGGTGCGTGCCCGGGATCTGAACCAGCGAACCTCCGGGCCGCCACAGCTGAGCGCGCACACTTAACCACTTGCTCCACCGGGCCGGCCCCCTCCACACCTTTTTTTTTTTTTTTTTAATAATTTTATTTATTTATTTTTATTTTTTTCCCCAAAGCCCCAGTAGATAGTTGTATGTCATAGTTGCACAGCCTTCTAGTTGCTGTATGTGGGACGCGGCCTCAGCATGGCCAGAGAAGCGGTGCGTCGGTGCGTGCCCGGGATCTGAACCCGGGCCACCAGTAGCAGAGCGCGTGCACTTAACCGCTAAGCCATGGGCCGGCCCCCTCCACACCTTTTTTTAACATTACTTTTCCTACACCACTATTTTCATTGTGTCACACATCTTCCCCACCCCCACTCACCTCCCAGTTAAAAAATCCCCAGTTCTTATGGTTTACCAAGGTGGCATCCAGGGACTTCTATAACCTCAGTCTACCCTACAAATTTACCTTATCTCCACTCCACACACTAGCCAGGCCATTCTTTGATTTATTCGTTCAATAAACAAACACACACTTCTCCTCATAAGCACCAAATGTGCTTCCATTCATTTCATTCCAGCATACCTTTTCCTCATCTCTTTTGTCTCACATTTCACACTAACATCTCCCTTCTCCAAACCCCTGCTGAGGTTATCATTGGTATCACTTTCTCACTTTGGAAATTTATTGTATAATGACTTATAGTTTTACCAGTGTGTGTGTTTCTTATATCCCTCAATAGATTGTAAGATCCTAGAGAGTGCAATACAATCCCTGTCTCTCTCTCCCTCTCTTTTTGGATCCATGTTTACTGAGCATTTACAATAGGCAACACATAAAATGCCTAGCCTATGTCACCTCAATTTGTTCTCACAACAACCCTGAAAGGTAGATATTTTTACCACATTTTGAAAATGAGGCTTAGGGAAGTTCAGTGACTTGCCCAAGGATATGCTGCCAGGCAATGACAAAGCTGGGAATCAAATCCAGGCAGTATGACTCACGGTCTCCATGCTATATTGCCTCTCTATAAAACCGTGCTTCTTATATATTCTTGTCAATTAACAGCACAATGTCATGTACATAATGAAGCTTCAAAAATACTTATTGGGGCCAGCCCAGTGGCGTAGTTGTTCAGCTTGCATGCTCCACTTCCGTGGCCCAGGGTTCGGGTGTTTGGATCCTGGGTGCAGACCTACACACCGCTCATCAAGCCATGCTGTGGCAGCATCCCACATACAAAATAGAGGGATATTGGCACGGATGTTAGCTCAGGGCCAATCTTCCTTAAGCAGAAAAATAAATAAAATAAAATAAAATAA